GAAAGCAGAAAATTTAACATTGTCCCATTGTCTCTTTGGATAAAAAAATTTCTTGCGGAAAGTGTTCTTGCATAGCTACAGAAGTGTCTCGATGGATTTTAGATATTTCCAATACCCTCCCCACTGCGAATGGTATAAAAATTGGCCTGGTGAATCTTCGTTATGTTTACTTGTTAAGTATCGTTTAGCACTATTAAACCAGTAAGGAAAGTAGTAAAGTCGGACGGGGCCGACTATATGATACCCTTCACCACTTTGGTTATATTCAACAGATTAATCCTAACAGACGTCACATTTTAAAGGACCACTAAAATGAAATTGGATCCATAAACATGTCATCTTGCAACCGATACTAAATATTTCATTTGGTAAGATATAGAAGCTATACCTAAATATGAACTGATTTTCAGGAAACTTAACACACATCATTCTAGAACTAATTCTTTACGATGTGCCAATTTTCGTGCAAATCGAAAGATATATGGGGACTTTGGTGCACCATTTACATTAAATTGGACAAAAATATATATGGGAGCTATATCTAAATCCGAACCGATTGTCACGAAACTTTGAACATATCATTCTAGACTCAACTCAGTACGCTATGCCAAACTTCGTGCCAATCGAATGACATATAGGGACATTGGTGCCCCATTTACATAAAATCGGAAGAACATATATATGGGAGCTATATCTAAATCTGAACCGATTTTCACGAAACTTAGCACACGCCATTCTAGGCTTAATTCAGTACGCTGTGCCAAAATTCGTGAAAATCGAAAGATATACAGGGACTTTGGTGCACCATTTACATCAAATCGGACGAAACTATATATGGGAGCTATATCTAAGTCTGGACCGATTTTCTCGAAGCTGGGCAGGCATCACTCTAGGCTCAATTCAGTAGGTTATGCCAAATTTCGTGCTAATCGTAGGATATGTTGGGACTTTGGTGCACCATTTACATAAAGTCGGACGAAACTATATATGGGAGCTATATCTAAATCTGGACCGACTTTTTCGAAAATTGGCAGACATCACTCTAGGCTCAATTCAGTACGTTATACTAAATTTCGTGCAAATCGATAGTTATATAGGGTCTTTGGTCCACAATTTACCTTAAATCGGACGAAAATATATATGGGAGCTATATCTAAATTTGAACCGATTTTTCCCAATTTCAATAGGGTTTGTCCTTGGGCCAAACAAATGAGCTGTGCCAAATTTCATCCAAATCGGATTATAAATGCGACCTGTACATTGTTTACAATTTAACACCAACAGACGGACTGACGGACATGCATAAATCGTCTCAGAAAGTGATTCTATGCATATTCTCAAAAGGAACTATGGGTTCCTTTACAAACATATGCACAAAGACATAATACCCTGTACATTGTGGTGAAGGGTATAATGATAACAAAAAACTGATGGTGTATGGAACGGTTGCTCAATTAGATCCATGCGATTATATAGAACAAATGGTACACCAAAGAATCCAAGTCTTCCGGTTGACATGCAATTTTTCATTGATTTCAGAATGAGTTCCAACTAATTTTTGGTTCAAATATCTATCTAGATAGCACATTTAATTTCAAAGATTTTACGTCTGCTCTATCTACAGGATATTATATGCATTAACATCTCTTGTATGTACCCAAAGTGGTGAACTTTCCTTACTGGTTTTATTTAAAAAATGCATTGAAATATAGTCGAACAAAAGTACATAAAATGTATTTATTGATAATTTCCACGGAAAATTTAACTAGAATGTTACTGCAGGAGAACTTTTTACCCATTGAAATCCCAAAATACAATCAATTCCCTTGTATTTTGTAAAATAAAAAAAAAAAACTAAAAATACCTAAAACTGCTTAAACTTGTCAAATTCTGCTTGACCACACTGGATGAATGGAAATAAAATGTCTTATGCAGTTCTATTTCCATTTCAAGTAATTGTATGTGGTGTGAATCTATGACGTTTCCGTCACACCAGGACACATCGCTTTTTGTATCTTTTATGAACCACAAAAAGGTTTTTTCATTTGACATTGAAGAATATTTCAAATAGAATTATACAGAGTTTATTGTGGTTTTGTCGTTTTCCTCTATTTCCGATTTGGCAATATTTTTTTTTTTTAAATGGAAATGCATATGTATGCAGACGCATGTGAGTGTTTGGTTACTGCTGAGTGAAGAAGAAAAAAATGAAAACTTGAAACGCCACATGCAAGGAAAGCATTTTTGAATTACAATTTGTTACTGGCATTTTTATGGCAAGGGATTTAAAATGCATTTACGCAAATGTATATTTTTATTTGCAGTTAATCGTTGGGTCATTGAATGGTGAAGATAAATATTTATTTCTTTAAATGCAATTTATACGAGTACTAGTGCCACATAATTCTTGACCATACTGTGATACAGAGTATTATGTCTTTGTGCATATGTTTTTAAAGAAATAGACACATTGGTTCCTTTTTAGAATATGCAAATAATCACTTTCTGACTTGATATATGTAAGTCTTTCTGTCCATGTATTCTTTTGAATAAAGTACAGGTCGCATTTATGATCCGATTTGGATGAAATTTTGCCTAAGGACGAACCAAATTGAAAATGGAAATAATCAATTCAGATTTAGATATATCTCCCATATCTATTTTCGCCCGTTTTTATCTAAATGGTGCTTAAAACCCCAATATTTTGCTCATTTGAATTAGGTCCAGTTTAATTATCGATGGAGTTTTGTTAAAATTGGTTCAGATTTAAATATATCTCCTAATATTCTTCCGATTTAGAAATATTTTTTCTTCGGTACTTAATTAACTGCACTTTGATGTCTTTAAAGTTTTATTGAAATCAGTTTAGATTTAGATATAGCTCCCATTTATAGTTTCGTCGGATTTTATGCATATAGTACACCAAACTCCAAATATTTCTCCGATTTACACATAATTGTGCATAGCATATTTTATTAAGTCCAGTTCTGTCTGGCCGGCTGGTTAGCACGATAACTCCCGAAGGGAGTAAACAATTTCATTTAAAGTTTTCACAACTTAATATTTCTTCCAAAATTAGTTCACGTTCAAATTGCCAACATTTCAATATTTTCAATGTCCGATTTGAACCAAACTTTGCACAATGTATTATCCTTACAAAGCTTAGATCAAGTCCTCCCCAGAAAGGATCAATATTTTATAAACTTGTAAATTTAATTTTTTGAAGCGAATTGAATAACCGATTTGATCAGCATTAAACCTGAAAACTCTTTGATAAAAGTATATCTTATATGAAACGAATGATAAAACATATGTGCAATTCCGACGACCTCCGCAAACAAAAGGCTGAGGGTATATATTTGCCGGCAATACCGACTGACAATTTTTATACCCTTCACCACACTGTTGTACAGGGTATTATGTCTTTGTGCATATGTTCGTAACAGGCAAAAGGAAACGAGATAGACGCATGGTTCCTTTTGAGAATAAGCATAGAATCACTTTCCGAGTCGATTTACGCATGTCCGTCTGTCCGTCCATGTATTTTTGTGAACAAAGTCGGGGTCGCATTTATGATCCGATTTGGATGAAATTTGGCACAGCTCACTTATTTGGCCCAAGGACGAACCCTATTGAAATTGGGAAAAATCGGTTCAGTATAAATGGTGCGCCAAAGTCCCTATATGTCTTTCGATTTGAACGAAATTTTGCACAGCGTGATTAATTAGGTCTAGAATGATGTATGTTAAGTTTCCTGAAAATCGGTTCAGATTTAGATATAGCTCCCATATATATTTTCGTCCGATTTAATGTAAATGGTGCACCAAATTCCCTATATATTTTTCGATTTGCACGAAATTTGGTACAGCGTAATGAATTAGGTCTAGAATGATGTGTGTTAAGTTTCCTGAAAATCGGTTCAGATTTAGATATAGCTCCCATATATATTTTCGTCCGATTTAGTATAAATGGTGCGCCAAAGTCCCTATATATGTTTCGATTTTCACGAAATTTGGCACAGCGTGATGAATTAGGTCTAGAATGATGTGTGTTAAATCTCCTGAAAATCTGTTCAGCTCCCATATATATTTTCGTCCGATTTAGTACTAATGGTCCACCAAAGTGCCTATATATCTTTCGATTTGCACGAAATTTGGCACAGCGTAATGAATTAGGTCTAGAATGATGTGTGTTAAGTTTCCTGAAAACCGGTTCAGATTTAGACATAGCTCCCTTATAAATTTTCGTCCGATTTAATGTAAATGGTTTGCTGCACCATTTAATATCTTGCGGTTTGCACGAAATTTGGCACAGTGTAATGAATTAGGTCTAGAATGATGTGTGTTAAGCTTCTTGAAATCGGTTCAGATTTAGATATAGCTTCTATATCTGACCAAATGAAAAATTTAGTATCGGTTGCATAATGACATGTTTATGGATCCAATTTCATTTTACTGGTCCTTTAAAAATACGAGGTCTGTTAAGATTCATCTGTTGAATACACCCAAAGTTTCCTTACTGGTTTTATTTGTTATAATAAAATTCGATGATTTTCAAGCGTTGTTCGTTTGTAAATTATAGTCCAAACTGAAATCACCCTATGCGCAAATTTTAAATTCTCTATACGCTTTACATATGCTTTAAAAATCTTACCAAATCATATTCAATATAAGTCCAAACCACATAAGAGTAAAATATGATACCCGGTAATGAAAGCATCAAATTGTGATGGGACCGACTTCATGATATTTGAAATTGCGTTTTTTAATTGAACCGCCACCATATAACAGATATTGCTTAAAATTATTTTCAATTCAATAAACAGAGGCTGTTATATCTTTATCATTTGTATTATCACGCACATATACATGTCCACGTATTTATTGCATATGTATGTGTGTGTCAGTAATTTCATTTTTTTATATTACATATGTATGTATGTGTATTTTTATTCATTTTGTTTTCTTTTTGTAATTTTGTTGTTTTCTCTCTTTTTACAGATGCTCTGTTGGCGGAAGTCTACGAAACACATTTACGCGGTCCGGGTTTTGTTATGGAACCGCCAGGACGTGTTGAGTTCTCAAATTCTTCAGGCGGTTGGCTGGATTGTTCGGCCTCGGGCAGCCCTCAACCGTCCATCGACTGGGTGCATGCAGACGGCACTGCTGTAACGGAAATTCATGGTGTACGCCGGGTGCTGCGCAATGGCACTCTCGTACTTTTGCCATTTCCGGCTGCCGCCTATCATCAGGATGTGCACAACACAATATATCGTTGCGTTGCCAGCAACAGTGTTGGACGTGTAGTTTCCCGTGATGTACAAGTCAGAGCTGGTAAGTGTGAAGATTGAAGGCATCCTCATTACGTGTTCATTGCATTTGGTCACACAATGTTATGTAGGTGAATTTTTTGGTGCTATTTGCCGCCAACAAATTACATTCCCTTATTAATTGAATCAATTTGCAATGCCATTCAATTTTTATTTATTTTTTTTTTACTTTTTGTTGGTCTTGTGGCAAACACCGTAGACCAATGTATTCGACTTTTATTTTATTATTGCAACACATTTCCTGTCATGTTTCGTTGTGTTCTTGTTTCGCCTATTTATGTTCGGTATTTGATTTTCTCTCTTTTTTCTTTACAATGCTGCCCCACAGTCGTTGCACAAGCTTACAAGGTTGATGTTGAAGTTTTATCTGCATCTCGAGGTTGCACCGCCATTTTGCGTTGTGTAGTGCCAACATTTGTAAAGGAATTGGTTCGAGTGGTCTCATGGGTTCATGAACCTGCTATCTACATATATCCATCATTGCAAGGCGGTAAGTGTACCCTTTCTCTCTATCACTCTTTCATACACACACACACTCACATACCCATTCTTATAGTTATCGTTATTCAGTCGTATATTAAATTATGTATGTGGCGTATAAAAAAGCACGTACAAGGACCTCTTTTTACATTTGTATTGCGAACGCACACACAGCCACAAAACGATTTTATTCATGCTACTACACAAGAAATGTCAGGATATGAATCATAAAAAAGCTACAAATTTGTTCGTTTCTTGTTCGTCGAGTTGCCTGTCTATGTTTGTAGGCAAAATTATGATTTAGCGCTGGCAGAAAGCACTAGACAATGACAAAACCCCATATCCGGTATTTATTTGATTGTACCCAACGAATGTGATAAATAATTCGTTATTCGTTTAAGTGTTTCGTGGCGCACAGTGGATTGATTAATACGGGAATAATATTTTAAAAGAACACGCTGTCTTTTGAGTAGGATTGTAAAAGAAATGTAAATATTTGGAAACACAATAGTCGCTACCCTAAATCATGACGAAAACGTTAATTAAATGGATCATATTCTAGATTTCCTCTTCACTCACTAAGAAGAAGAAATTCCATCATATACGAAAAATTGAGGCTATAATATTACTTGATATCAGACTCCGAAATGCTCGCTCGAATTCGAATAAAGAATGAAACTCGCTCGAATTCGAGCGGGAGTACTCCTGCGAGTAGAAAAAGTAAATAGAGTTTACTCTATTTTTCTCTGCCACTCAAATAAGAGCGGAGGTGCTTTGCTCGTTTTCGAGTGGGAGTGAAATACGCTCGAAATCGAGCAGATTACACTCTTGCCGAGTACTCTTTTATTATTATTTTTTTTATTTTTTTTTTTTTGTGATACCGTTGTTTTACTTGATGTTGTTTGTGTGCATTGTTTGTTTGTTTTGTGATGTTTGGTTTGCAGTACTGTTGGGAAAGCATGCATCAACAAGCTCGTTTTCTGCGTTCTCTTTATGTAAGTCATTTCATTTTTGTAATGATCTATCTCCCCACAGCAAACAAAAGATCAAAATCAAAAAAAAAAAAAAAATAAATTGGTACTACACACACACACAAATAACCAAACAACCAAATTTATTTGTCCACTCGATTTCACTCTTAGAGTGAACTCTTACTCTATTTCGAACGTTTTCTCTCACACTCTTTTTCTTCAACAAGGAGTACTCGCGAGCACTTCCAAACAAAATAAAAGAGTGCAGAGTATACTCCCTAAAAAACTCGTACTCTTTACCTATTCCCGCTCGGGAGTATTTTTCACTCGCTAGTAAAATCGAGCAAATCGGAGCTCTGCTTGATATAAATTTCACCAATTTTTAATGGTGACATCTGAAACTCCCAAAACATGGACTGATACTGATAACGCATGGTAGAGTATAAAAACCTCAAGCTACTGCAGATTAGATTGTAAAGTTATATAAGACTATGCTGAAATGGGGACCAATATTGATTACATAGTGTAAGAATTTGCGAATATTTGCTGTTATCATTATATGAAGACTATGCCTAATTAATGACCAATATATGTCAATTTTGAACACAATAGTTTTGGTTTGTTTGGCTTGGTTTGTATCTCAATTCTATCCTTCAGGAGCTATCATTATATGGAGAGATGCCTATATGCTGGCCCATATATTTCGTTATCGTCAGGTTAGATTTTTTTATCACGATATCCTAATAAGGCGGAATCATTACAACAGATGACTAAATCCTCATAGAATTATGGGGACAGCCCAGAAAAAATGGGCGAATATTAATATTTTTATACCCTTCACCACACTGTGGTACAGGGTATTATGTCTTTGTGCATATGTTTGTAACAGGCAAAAGGAAACGAGATAGACACATGGTTCCTTTTGAGAATATGCATAGAATCACATTCTAAGTCGATTTATGCATGTCCGTCCGTCCGTCTATCTGTCCATGTTAAATTGTAAACAAAATACAGGTCGCATTTATGATCCGATTTGGATGAAAGTTGGCATAGGTCACTTATTTGGGCCAAGGACGAACCCTATTGAAATTGGGAAAAATCGGTTCAGATTTAGATATAGCTCCCATATATATATTCGTCCGATTTAAGGTAAATGGAGCACGAAAGTACCTATATATCATTGGATTTGCACGAAATTTGGCATAACGTACTGAATTAAGTCTAGAACGATGTGTGTGAAATTTCGTGAAAATCGGTTCAGATTTAGATATAGCTCCCATATATATTTTCGTCCGATCTTTGGTAAATAATGCACCAAAGTCCCTATATACCTTTGATTTGCACGAAATTTGGCATAGCGCACTGAACTTAATCTAGAACGATGTGTGTGAACGATGTGTGTGTCGTGAAAATCGGTTCAGATTTAGATATAGCTCCCATATATATTTTCGTCCGATTTTAGGTAAATAGTACACCAAAGTCCATATATATCTTTTGATTTGCCCGAAATTTGGCATAGCGTACTAAATTAAGTCTAGAGTGATGTGTGTTAGGTTTCGGGAAAATCGGTTCAGATTTCTATATAGCTCCTATATATATTTTCGTCCGATATGTAAAAGTTGTACCAAAGTCCCTATATATTCTAGGATTTTGCACGAAATTTGGCATAGCGTACTGAATGAAGTCTAGAGTGATGTTTGTTATGTTTCTGGAAAATCGCTTCAGATTTCGATATAGCTCCCCCATATGTATATGTATTCGTCCGATTTTACATAAATGGTGCACCAAACTCCTAATGTTTGTTCGATTAACAAGAAATTTTGTACAACGTATCAAATTGAGACTTGTATGACTCTAAGTATTCCCGAATGAAATTAAATTTATCATAGGTTGCAGAAGGACATGCAATTGTAAGGATACATATGTACAACATACCCCAAGTAGTGAAGGGTATAATATAGTCGGCCCAGTCCGACTTTACTACTTTCCTTACTGTTTTTGTTTTTTTTTTTTTTGTGGGGAGGAGATTTGTTACCATATAAGACTACAAAATACCAAATTACAGTGCAAAATACCAAAATGTGGGTTACCTCTATATCCAAAAAAAACCCTATTTTTTTAAATTTTTAGTTGAGAAATTTGCAACCCAATAAGAACTCAAAGTGCTAAATTACAGCCAATTCGGTCGAAAAACGCGATCAAAACTTTATAGGGTCGGAAATTATTATTTAGATGAGTTACAAAACAGAAAAACGGAATTAATATAACCTTCATACTATGGAGGAGGGTATAAAAATATTCTCAGCATCCCCACTTAATCCCTCATGTACAGTAGACATAAGCATTTTGAAGGATTTAATTGTTTACTTAATATACGGCACACACACACAATACTTATGAACTTTATGAAAAAGTAAATATAATAATTTAATCAACATTATTTCAGTAAATATTCTCTATACATGACATATCTTCTCAACGCATACATCCACACATTTATTAAATATTAAATTTTAATCAATTCTTGTCAAACCATAAAAATAGAATTGTATTTTTATTTTATTTAATTTTTTGCAGATGGAAAATTTCATCTCCTACCCACCGGTGAATTACTTATTCATAATCTACAGGAGAGTGATGAATCCCAATCGTTTCGATGTCGGAGCATGCATCGACTGACACGTCAAGTTGTTGTCAGTTCACCTACGAGACTGAGAATAAATTGTAAGTAAATAAATTATGAGTGGGTTGCAATAAATTTGAAAATGTTGCAAATATTCAAATATAATATGATTAATGAAAATGTACACATTAAGTTGGTTATATTCTATGTAATCAATGTATTATATTTGATAATGGCAAAAAATGTCAAATGAAATACCTAACTGGAAAAGTCTCTATAGACAAAAATATATTCATAATTGAATTACTATCATTAAGCATTTTCTGTCATATAGAAAATTCTAACTAAAAAGTACATTTTATTTAATATCATAATATCAAAATGTGAAAATGCTTAATTGACATTGGCCTAATTAAAGTTAAAATGTTAATTAAATTCAATTGGTATTGAAAAGTGAATATTGCCAAAACATGTATCCAAAATTTCGTATTTTTAATAAAGCGTGCTAGTAATAGAGATTTGTTTTTATACCCTTCACCAAACTCTGTATTATGTCTTTGTGCATATGTTTGTAACAGGCAAAAGGAAACGAGATAGACACATGGTTCATTTTGAGAATATGCATAGAATCACTTTCTGAGTCGATTTATGCATGTCCGTCCGTCTATCCGCCTGTAGATGTTAAATTGTAAAAAGAGTAAGTCGCAGTTATGATCCGATTTGTATGACATTTGGCACAAGTCATTTATATGGCCCGAGGGCGAACCGTATTGAAATTGGGAAAAATCGGCTCAGATTTAGATATAGCTCCCGTATATAGTTTCGTCCGATTTAAGGTAAATGGAGCACCAAAGTCCCTATGTATCTTTCGATTTGCACGAAATTTTGCATATGCTACTTAATTAGACCCGGAATGATGTGTGCTAAGTTTCGCGAAAATCGGTTCAGTTATAGATATAGCTCCCATATTTTTTAGTCCGATTTTATCTAAATGGTGCACCAATGTCCCTATACATATTTCGATTTACTCGAAATTTGGCATAGGGTACTGAATTAAGTCCAGAATGACGTGTGTCAAGTTTCGAGGAAATCGGGTCAGATTTAGATATAGCTCCCATATATATTTTCGTCCGTTTTGAGGTAAATGGGGCACCAAAGCCCCTAAATATCTTTCGAGTTGCACGAAATTTGGTATAAGACACTGAATTAGGTCAAAAATGATGTGTGCCAAGTTTCGAGAAAATCGAGCTTATATATATTTTCGTCCGATTTAATGTAAATTATGCAATAACAAGTGAGCGGAGCAGAATAGTCGGACGGGGCCTACCATATGATACCCTACACAACTTCAAGGAAAATGTAACTTTGCGTTATTTACACCCTCTTGACACCCGACTAAAGGTCAACAAATATTACTAATATTCAGTAGACGAGGGCTGCATTTGTCCAGATTCTCTTTACCGTAGGTTATGTTGTGATGTTGGAGTTTCAAAAGTGGCCTATAGATCGACTCAAAAAAAAAAAAAAACACAAAAAATAAAGTTTACGGTCCACTTCATCCCAAAATTATTATCTGATCATCACCGAAAATTATAGGCGTTGTCCTTGACAATACCTGGATCCTCATGGAAAATTTCACCTGTAAATATTTAAGTGTAACTCCCACATCTGGGGACGTACGACCATATAATTGGTATAAATTTAAAGCTCAACCACTCCTCTTGGATACACTATAAACTTCTCGGGTTTATGTCATTCAGGGGCAAATATATATGCCATAGAACAAAAATTTTGTCATTTTTCACACAAAAGTCAGGGTCTATTTGACCCGCTAAATATTGACCGATCTTTATCAAAACAGGCATGCCTATTCTTTGGCCCAATCCCTTTCTCCATACAAAAATTCACGGTGTTTGGGCCATAACTGTGGCCTCTGGAGCGACCAGAAAACCGAATAAGGTATTTTGTCCATTTCATCCCCTAAATATTAACCGATCTTTTCCAAAAACAATAGGGGTCTTCATTGGCGAGAACCCATTCTACATGCAAAATTTCGCGAAGATTGGTCCATAACTGTGGCCTGTATCGTGTTTACAAATTATAATGGACGGACGGACACACATGTCTAGATCGACTCAGCTATTCGAGATATGACGATCGGTATACTTAAAGGTGGGTCTAGGACCAATATTTCGCGGCGTTACAAACTTTTGGGGCTGCAATAAGCTATAATACCCTGACAACATAGTTGTGTAGGGTATAAAAACCCAAAGTTTGACCGACTGACACACAATTTTGTACAATGTGCTGTTAGAGTAACAACCTTTCGTGTGTCAAGTTTTCTTGAAATCGGTTCAGATTTAGATGTAGCTCAGCTTCCATATATAATTTCGACCAAATAATCAATGGGTGCCTTATTGATATTACATTTTAAACAGCTAAGCATACCAAATAGCGTGTGAAAAGTTTGCTTTAAATCTGTTTACAAAATTTAGAGTAGGTTGCAGAATGACATGTGTTGTTCCTTCAAAAAGGTTACATATGTACAATATACCCAAAAGTGGGTAGCATATAGTCGGCCCAATCCAACTTTACTACTTTCCTTACTGGTTTAAAACTGTCTCGCAACCCTTTGGCATAATACTGCCGTGTTTCGGTAGTCTTTTCTTTAAGTGTAGATTGTGGATTTACCAAACCCACTTTCATTTTATATTGGAGAGAATTGTTATAGGTATAGACATTGTGATTTCTCTACAATTATCCGAAGTCACAATGATGGTCCTATTGAGACAAAAACGTAATAAATTAAGTACAGACTGACCAAAATTATAAGGATTGTCCGAGTATGACACAAATTTGCACAACGTACTCAATAATTATAGATTGATTTAAGGGGACCCCACCCATTCTCGGGGTCAAAAATTTTGTTGATATAATTCGAATCTACACTGATTAAAAAATGTCTCTACAAAATTTCAAGTGAAAATCTCAAGAACTCTTGAAGATATAGCCGATTTATTGTGTCAGCATCAAGTGACGGCTGAAGGGCTTCTCAAACTTTAAACGCGTTTTTCTCTAAACATTTTTTGCGAATGGCGGGCACGATAACTCAAAAACTAATAATCCAATCGGTTCCAAATTTTGCAATGTTTCTCTGGGAGTGTATAGCTCTCGTATGAACTAGGATAAAGCCAATCGGTGAAGATCTTCCTTATTTGTTAACTTGGTTTTTGGTAAAAAATCGGCGATTTTTCAAAAATATTTTTTCAAAGGTCCACCATTTTTTTAATTTTAGAGCGAAGTCAATAATCCTAGTTTATACGAGAGCCAGACATGTACTCTTTCTAACACCGTTGGAATTTTCGGATTCCGATGTTCCAGTGAGGAGTTATCATGCCCGCCATCAAAAATAAGGACTTTTCTTTAATTACAAAAACAACAACAAAACAATAACAAATTTTTTTTTAAATTATTTTTCTTCTCTTTTAAATCTTCAAATATATATGTGCAAAGTTACAAACCTTAAGAAGCATTGGTATTGATTTAACAGCCCATTGAAATTCTTGAAAAATTAATATCGAGAATGGGTGGGGTTCCCTTAAGGAAAGGTTTTTTTAAATCAATTCAGTTATAACTAAAGCTCCAATTTTCGTCCGATTTTATGCAAATGGTGCATCCAACTCCCGAGTTCAGTAGACCAGGTTAATTTAAAAAAATCCTCATTTTATTTATAAGGACACTTGCATTTACAAATTGATTTATAAAGACCAATAGGTCTTCAGAGAGAGGCAGGTCTATATAAAGGCCAATTGGTCTGTCCAGAGGGCAATTAAAAGTGTTTAGAGGCCAAAGGTCTGCAGAGAGCAATATGCCTGTATAAAAACCTATTAGGCGGTGTAGAGAAAACACCATTTTATTTTTATAAAGACCTGTGTTCTCTGACTATTTTGTATTTTTAAAGCTTGTCGTATACCGATTTACATACACAGATTTGTTCGACTCCAATGTATAAGAAAGTTTATATACATTTTAAAATGCCCTGTGTTTGGATTAATTAAAATAGATTCCTATATTTTCTTCATGTCATTCGTCCTCCAAAGATGTTATACCTGTTATTGTACATGTACATAGAAATGCAATACGAATCGTAGTTACATCTCTTGTGCATACACAAGGTTGTGAGGGTTATCACATCCGACTTTTGAACTTTCCTTACTGGTTTTTAATAGCTTCATCCAATTTTGCATATAAACAAAGTAAAAGTGGTATTTAAAAAAAAAATAGTAAAGATATTTAATAAATTAGAGATATTTATGTTTTAAATCTTGATACAGAAATGTACATAAGTATAAAATTGCTTATGTAATAACACAACTTAATATTTATTCTGCCATTTGGTGTTGAATAACGATGAAAAATACAATAATTGTCTTTAGGGATCGTACGTTTGAAACACTGACTAAATTGAAAATAACAAATATATATATATATATATATATATATATAATAACATGTAAATCAAATTCATTCCAATTTGTGTAAATATGCCATTAAGGAGGGACTCTATAAAATTTCGTTTGACTTCTAGGACAAATGTGGAGGTACCAACCTTGCACCTTACCTTTAATGTTTACTTTATCAAGGCATTTCATAATGCCTACATCTATTGTACTCCGAGTAAGGAAGTTCTACCCCATCATCCTAGCTATTTATTTTTTCCATAACCAGGAAAATTGTTGCATTCAACATTTATAATTGTATTTGTGCCATTAACGTAGCTAAATACGGTAACGGTATTACTTACATCAGACTGCATTCATTACCAAAAGCTTAGCTACCGGATCTATGAACTATGCCTGAAGTCATCCGCAGTAACTAGCAGCTGGCTAATTATCTTTTTAACGTTGTTGTCTACACATCTTGCAATGTTTTTAACAAACAACACACCCAACATACCTGCCAGCCAGTCTGTGAGCCGGGCAATCTCCTAACGTGCTGCAAAGATCCTAATGAAGAGTAGAAAGCTGGCTGCTAGGATTACAGCAGTACCTGTCAAGTGTTTGATGCAATTTAATTAAAACTTGTCGTTTTTTTCCTCCCTTTCTTCCCGTTCATGATTTCAGCTCATCGCGGCATCATATCACCAAGCGTTGTCGAGCATACAGCACATGTGCAGGTTTCCCAGGATGAAGGTGCCGTTTTATTGTGTGTGGCACAGGGCTGTCCATCACCGGAATATAGGTAAGTTCAATGTACTTGATGTGTATTAGCTGATGTGAAGTAGAAATTACATCGTCAATGTGAATAGTTTAATAATTTTTAATTAGTGGTTGCCAAACAAAGGAAATGCTTTTGTTAGACCGTTGAAAGCAAAGGAACTTCAAACATAAATATTTTCATAGAATAAATAACTTATACGCAGTTTGTAGAATTACTGTAATGCATTTGAAGAAAAATGCAAATAAATAAGCAAGAATTACTCATAATGTTAATAAGAATTACTTGAATTTATTAAGAGTTCATTTGTATCAAAAGTAAATATTTTATGGTTGCTATAACACAAGGTGGATTATCTCATTCGTTGGAATTTTCTAAAGTGTTTTATATTTGCCAGTAGTTGGCTTTTTTTAATTGGATTTTAAGGAACATGGTAAAAAATATTATTTAAGGTTATAACAGGAAGCAACAATTTCAAAAGTAAACGAGATAGTCACATGGCTCCTTTTGAGAGTATGCATAGAATCACTTTCTGAGTCGATTTATTTGTGTCCGTCTCTCCGTCCTAAATTGGATAAAATCGATCCAGAATATGGTATAGGTTCAGTTTGATGTAAATTGTGCACCAAACTCTCAAAGTTTGTACGTTTGTGATAATTAGGTGCAGTTTGAAGTATGCGATTTATCGTTGAAATCGGTTTAGATTTAGATATATCTATCATATATAGTTTGCTACGATTTTATTTCAATTATCCAATATTTGTCCGATTGAGACAAAATTTTTCACATCGTACTAAATTATGCACGGATAGATGTAAGCAAAATTTCATTGAAATCGGTTCAGATTTAGATACAGCTCCCATAGTTAGTTTCGTCCAATTGTATACAAATGGTGCACCAAACACCCAATATTTTTCCGATTGAGACAACATTTAGCATAGCGTACTGAATTAGGTCCAGATTGATGTATACGAACTTTTATTGAAATCGGTTCAGACTTAGATAAGGCTCACATATATAGTTTCGTTCGATTTTATATTAGGTTGGGGAAAAATAAATCCATGATCGAAGTTGACCGGCTTCTTAGCAGTAGTAACATCGAGAAGGATCTAAAAATCGATCATAAAACTGTTTTAAACCTTTGTGTAAATGGATTCTGGATTCAAAAAGAAGCTCGATGTTTGGGTGCCACACCAATCATTTAGTACAAAGCTAGGCCACACACATCTACAGTGACTCGCCAGAAATTTCGGGAGCTTGGTTGGGAAGTTTTAATACACCCGCCATTCAATCCGGACTTGGCACCAATCGATTAGATATCATTATTTTCTTACATATTTGGCCCTAATCGGACATTCCGAAACATGTTAAATAAAGTCTATTTTATAAACTTGTTATTATGTTAATTATTATATTTTTTGTTAGAAACCCGTTAAAGTGTGATTTTTTGTTTATTTAAAAAATTGGAACTTTAAAAAACTTCGCGATATAACGAATTTTTCGCTGTAACGAATGTGCCTGACAACAATGTGCCGGACAATAAAATATTCCTTGCCTTTAATTACCATTACATACGTTATGGGACCCCCCCCGTTCTCGGGGTCAAATTTTTTTATTTAATTCGAATCTACACTAATTCAAGAATGTCCCTACAAAATCTCAAGTGAAAATCTCAAGAACTCTTGACGATATAGCCGATTTATTGTGTCAGCATCAAGTGACGGCATAAGGGCTTCTCAAACTTTAAACGCGTTTTTCTCTTTTGCGAATGGCGGGCACGATAACTCAAACACTAATGACCCAATTGATTCCAAATTTTTACACGTTTCTCTGTGAGTGTATAGCTATCGTATGAACTAGGATAAAGCCAATCGGTGAGGACCATCCTTATTTTTTAACTTGGTTTTTAGTCAAAAATCGGCGATTTTCCAAAAATATTTTTTCAAAGGTCCGCCATTTTGTTAATTTTAGAGCGAAGTCAATATTTGTCGGATTCCGATGTTCCAGTGAGGAGTTATCATGCCGCCATCAAAAATAAGGACTTTTTTTAATTACAAAAACAACAACAAAACAATTACAAAATTTTTTTTTGTAAATTAGTTGTCATCTTCAAATATCAAATATGTATGTGCAAAGTTACAAACCTTAACATGCATTGGTATTGATTTACCAGCCCATTGAAAATCTTGAAAAATTAAAATCGAGATGGGGAGGTGTTCCCTTAAATGAAAAGTTGAATATAAATAAATTGCCTACTATGAAATAAGAAAATAAATTATTTCTTGGAAGTTAAGGATTTCGTCTTAATTGGAAATAAAAAAGAAACAGCATAAGTATTCAGAAATTAATGACTTATTTCATGTCTAATAATATGTTAGCTAATGACATGTGGTGGTCTGTATGACTCTTTCCATACTAATAATAAAATTCGTACACATATTTGAATTTCATACACAAATTAATAAGTAATAACTATAACTACTGCAGATAAACTCATAAGCGTTTAGAGGTAATGTTACGAATTACCGTATTAGGTTCCAATCGAGTATGTCGCATTAGGTTAGTCATAACCAATGCCACAAAAATTACATGAACTTTATAAAATTAGTGTTGAGTTTCCGTGAAACTTAACTTAATAACGTATATAAGCAATGTGTGTTTGTGTGATTGTGTTACTGTTGGTTTTGATCGAGATTCATAAAATGTCTAGTTTAGATGCTCAGGTTTAGAACACCTTTCATGGTATCGTAGCGAATTGTATTCATAATAAATCGAATTACAATAATAATATGACCAAAACAAATTTGATTAGTAAAGATAAATAAAAGAGTCGTTATAAATGACCCATCATAATAGAAGATGTATGTATATAGTATATATACCATGTATACATAGTTTGTACATTAGGGTGTCCCATGTTATAAAAGAAGAATGTTATATCTTTACAAATGTGTTATACATCTATGGTTGTGAAGTGTATATTAAATTTGCACGACCTTAAAATACTCGCAGGAGGTCTCTAGAGTAACTTCCATATCTAAGAAAATGCTTGAAAAAGATCAATGCCGCCTTGATAAATGTTTTCCTAATTAGTGAAAAAAGAACATCAAACTTGCTTTTTAATAAATAATTGCAAAGTTGAAAATTTAGTAGTAGAAAATGTAGCTCTGATTGTAAATGTGTGATTTGAAATTTTTTTTAGCACAATAGTCGAATTTTTTTGCAAAATAGTCGAACACTAGTTTTTTCTCGAATATAAAGAAGTTATGTGGTTTTCTTGTTTTTTTTTACAAAAATATACTTTTATCTGTAATTACAATCGGTGATTTTTAAATTCTTAGTCATTTTTGAAGCCGATAATTATTTTTAAATAAAAATATTCAATGTCGGGTAATGTGGACCACTATAAAAATTGGCACCTTTTTCTGAGGACGAGTTCAAAACATGGGCGCATTTAATATGCGAGTAGGTATTCTATCCTCTGAAAACTCGATATGCGAAATTACCGGTGCTTCGGTTGGATAATGAAGCAAGGACCTTCAAAATACCGCAAATGGGACTATTCCAAAACATAAGCCCATATATTTTTGCATTCATTGTTACCCAAGAGTGCAATAATTTGAAAATTATCACAACCAATCCACAACCTACATTTAACTTACTGATCCTCTTTACGCACATATACTGGTCCACATTACCAGCCAAGTTATTTTTATTCGCAGTTTAGAGTTTTTTTTGAAATTTAATGCAATAACATTTTTATAGACAAATATAAATATTATTTGACCTGGAATATATTTAGCCAACAAATCTACTATGTTGTGGAAACAATTTGTTTTTATTTTTTACCGTTGTTACACCCACAATATCAACACAGTAAGGAAAGTAGTAAAGTCAGACGGGGCCGACTATATGATACCCTTCACCACTTTGAGTATATTCAACAGATGAATCCTAACAGACGTCGCATTTTTAAAGGACCAGTAAAATGAAATTGTAACCATAAACACGTCATTCTGCAACCAATACTAAATTGTTCATTTGGTCAGATACAGAAGCTATATCCAAATCTGAACCGATTTCAGGAAACTTAACACACATCTAGACCTAATTCATTACGCTGTGCCAAATTTAGTGCAAACCGAAAAAAATTAAGGGACTTTGGTGCACCATTTACATTAAATCGGACGAAAATATATATGGAAGCTATATCTAAATCAGAACCGATTTTCAAGAAACTTAACACACATCATTCTAGACCTAATTTGATACGCTGTGCCAAATTTTGTGCTTAAATCGACTCAAAACGTGATTCTATGCATATTCTCAAAAGGAACCATCTCGTTTCCTTTTGCCTGTTACAAACATATGCACAACGACATAATACCCTGTACCACAGTGTGGTAAAGGGTATAAAAAGAATTTTGTTCAAGAACCTCAAAATACCGAAAATTGGGTGGTACCCTTATATGGGGGCTACCAGAAAAAATTGACCAATAATTATCATTTATAGCGGAGAGATTAGCTACCTAATAAGAACTCGACGTACTAAATTACAGTCAATTCGGTCGAAAAATACGATCAGAACCTCAAAATACCAAAAATTTGGGGGTACCGTTATACGGGGACTACCAGAAAAACTGGACCTATATTTATAATTTTTAGTGGAGTAATTTTGTACCCAATAAGAACCCAATGTACAAAATTTCAGAGAATTCAGTTATAAAACGAGCCCAAGAACCCGAAAATACCGAAAATTGAGGGTACCCTTATATGGAGGCTCTCCGAAGAAATTGAAATTGAATTTATTTATAATTTTTGGTAGGGAGATTTGCTACTCAATAAGAATTCAACGTACCAAATTTCAGCGAATTCGGTCGAAAAATTCGATCAAAACCCCCAAAATACCGAAAATTTGGGGTACCCTTATATGGGGGTTATCCGAAAAAATGGACCTTTATTTATAATTTTTGGTAGGGAGATTTGCTACCCAATAAGAGCTCAAAGTACCAAATTTCAGCGAA